CTTTGTTTTGTTCCCACTCCTAGGGGCTTCTTCTTCTATTGATTTTCTCCTATCCTGTCACCACCCTGTCCCTGGGGGAATTGTTATAGGAGTCAATTATCCGCCCCACCCCCCCACCAAATATCAATACCGTGCTAACTGTGCCAGAGGTGTCCAGTGGCCTCTCTAAGCCTTTCTTGATCATTACTGATCTGCTGAAGTTCTAGAATTTCTTTGGCTCATCTGAATCCAAGACAGTGACTCTCCATTTAAGGAAACTCAAGGTGGGGTCCATTGTGGAATTAGCTTTTCTGTGTCTCTTACCATGTGTCTACTCCCACTTTTTCTTCCTCGTATCTCTCTGTGCAGTCTCCACATTAGCAGCTCTCAGCTGATACAGTGCTGAGTTCCACTGTGGGTCAGGATCTGCCCCCATGAAAAGGACCACCAATAAAATCCGGATCTTCCATGCTAGGTACCTGCATTGGAAGTCAGCTCTGGCATGAGCCTTGATGTTTACTGACCCTTTTCTATGAGAAAATGAGCCCCGAGGGGAGAGGGAGTATTTCAGTCATCTTTTTCATTGCTGCGACTAAAAGACATGAACAACTTTCAAAGAAGAAAAGTTTCAGAGGTTTCAGTCCATAGATGGCCAAGTCCATAGTTGTGGGCCCAAGATGAGGCAGACCATCATGGTAGGAGGGTGTGGCAGAGGAAAACAGCTCAGGGAGGAGAGAGGGTGGGAGAGGGAGGGAGAGAGAGTGAGAAAGAAAGAGCACTCTACTCACGGGGACAAAATATACACCCCAGAGGCACCCCCACCCCAGTGACCTACCTCCTCCAGCCACACCTACTTGCCTATAGTCACCACCAGTTAATCCATTCAAGCAGATCAATGTATTGATTAGATTAAGGATCTCATGACCCAAACAATTCACCTCTAAACTTTCTTGCATTGTCTCATGCATGGACTCTTGGGGGACACCACATATCTGTAGCATAAACAGGGACTTGTCCAAGATCACACAGCTCCTTGGGACAGAATCCAAGCCTTCTGATGGACAGCTGGCTGCTCTTTTCCAAATTATCCAACCAGTCCCGAATGTGCAAATGCCTCAAGCCTGGGACTGGCCATGGCCAAGTTCCTGCCTCTTACCTGGCCCCTTGACTCCCTTAGACAGCAGCAGTCATGCTGTTGCCATTTGGGCTGATGGACCCTTCCCTTGGGTCACTCTCAATATGCTCATTCCCTTCCTCTCCTCTGCCTCCCCCTGGTCCTGAACACAGGGAACACAGAGCCATGGAAACCCAGAGAAAAGGCTGCGACAGCTCATGGAAGATCTCTCTGAATACCATGTGAGTAGACACTTTGTGGCATTGTCCCTTCTCACCTCAATTTCCTCTCCCCAATGTTCATCTCCCATCAACCACTTATTGAAAGTCTGTTGTGTGCATGCTGAAGCACTAGGCTACAGGCACCAGAACCGCATGAGAAATAACCTTTCTCTTTTTTATGTGCCGTGCTCGGAATGGAACCCAGGGCCTCATGCATGCTAGGCAAGTGCTCTACCACTGAGCTACCCATCCCTAGCCCTGAGCATCATCTCTTCCCTAAAGAAGCTCTCAGTATTGCTAGGAAGAGAGGCACCCAATCAGAGTGCAGCATGATTGGTCTTATTAGGGGAGCACAGATAGATAAAGAGCAGGAACTCAGATTTGACCTGGGTGTTCCTGGTGAGTTTCCAGGAGGCAGCGGTATGAGGCTGAGATTTGAAAGACAAGGAAGCATTGTCCAGTGAAGAGGGTAGAGAGAAGAACTGTGTTTGCGTTGAGGAGAATGCTTGAGCAAAGGCCCAGAAGGATTCTATCTCCTCATGGGGATCAGATGGCACCCCCTAGCTTCTGGGCAGAGAAGCCGAGAGCCTCAGGCTGACCCAGCTTCGTTCCTTCACTCTGCTCAGGCTCTGCATCTTGAAATGCTCACAATTGGTTTTGAACTTTGTACCCAGAGCAGGCTGGGGATGCCACCTGCCCCAGAGTGCACATTGCTGGGGGTTGGGAGGAGCTCATAGCATAAGGTCTCTGGGGTGGGCTCCAGGAGGCATCGCAGTGCCAGGAGAGGGGTGTGGTGAAAGCAGGGTTAGTAAGTCACCTACAGAATTGATGGGGGCAGGTGCCTGGGATGAGAATGGAATATGCAAGCTGGAGGAGGAGCTGGCAGAGTGGTCCGCACAGGATGGACAGGCCCTAGGAGGGGCTATGAGAGTCCCAGGAAGAGGACAGTTGGTGGGCCTGGCCAAGAACCTGTGGCATGCCTGTTCCTGAGAACCAGGCTGGAGGCTTCCACCCCCAGACTAAGTCTCTGCTTACAGGCAGGCTCTGCCCGGCATCAGATACTTTTAGGGGCTATGTTCAAAGGGTTTATGACACTGGGAGGGGATAAATTATAGATGGCTTTGGTGGGGGCAGGAAGCTCTAGAATCAAACTTGCCTTCCAGCTGCCAGGAATCCCTCAGCTGCAGTAAGGCATGGCCCCCAGAGCAAGTAGGCCAGGCCACCCATGGCCACGCACAGGCTCACCAGTAAGGGCCCAGCTAGCAGGTGGTGTGGCAGAATAAATGGCTCCATGCTGCAACAAATGGGCAGGGAGGGCTGGTGTGTGTGTGTGTGTGTGTGTGTGTGTGTGTGTGTG